GGGCCGGGCCGGGCCCGGGCGCACGGCCCTGCGCCGCCACGCGCAGCCCAGCGCCGCCAGCCCAGCGCGGAAGCTCTCGTTCAGCCAGCAGTAAATGAAGGGGTTGTAGCAGGTGCTGCTCATGGCAAACCAGTGAAAAGCGAAGTAGAGCGCGTTGCTGCTGTGGATGGCCCTGCAGGAGATGAGCACCACGTAGCAGTTCAGAGGGAACCAGCACACTGCAAACACTATCACCACCACCATCAGCATCTTCAGGGTCGTCATCTTTTTTTTCTGATGGGCGTAATATTGCTCCATGGTGATGTCGCCAATGGCGTTTCTCAGCCAGAGCTTCTTGGCCACCATGGTGTATGTGATGGTGATCACAAGCAAGGGCAGGACATACAAGAGAACAAAAGTAGTTAAGTCCAAATACTTCCAGAAAAGGTCAGCAGGTGGAGGGAAGCTGGGGAGACAGACCATTCGGATTGTTCTATTCCTGAAGAAGCAGGCAAGAAAGAAGCGTTAAAACACCACCAACAGATGCACACAATACCCGGAGGAAAAGCAGCTCAGATATTCTAAGTTTCTGTAAAGGTATGATAGCAGAACTCATTCAGTAACATGAGTGAGTGCCTCCTTCAATAGAAGATCTTACATTGAATTTGGCTTGTGGCCTTAGTGATGACCTTTTTAAACAAATCACCAGAAAAAAAAGATTATCCATATTGACCTCTATTCCCCTGTAATGAAGGATGGGTTTTTGTGCCTGACTCAAATTACAGCTCTGAATCTCTGAGCTGAAACCAACTGACAAGCAAGTCTGGAAGCAATATCACAGAATTTCGTTACCCTTTTTTGAAGAACGAACACAGCATCTGGTCAAAAATACAAAAGACTTCTCAATTTCACCGTATCGTCTTTTTTAGGAAGACAGATGGAAAATTGTGTGCTTTAGAATCTGTGGAACTTTGATTAATTTGAGTATGTCATATAAAAAAAAGCACTGTGTAAATATCTTACCCGATATAAAATCTCGCCAGAGTCTGATAAATGGCATGGGGCAAAGAGAAGCAGCTGGCCATAACCCAGATGATAATGATGCAAATCCCTCCTTTCACCATGGACATGCGTGGCTTCAGAGGGTGCATGATAACCTGCAAAGAAGAGCCATTCCTGAGAATTTTAAATGTCCACAACTAAGAAAATGAACTGCAATTTCTAGACAAAAATACAACTTTACTTTATTCATGTCAGAGGGCAAGCATTTCTTGCTGATCTCTGAGCGAGAAGCATAAAACACATATGCTCTCCAGGACAGTGAAGCCTACTCCACATGGATGTTAAGTGTGTTCTAGCTTGTGGTATAGGTAGTGGAAGATGTGTCTTGATTACTACAGGAGCATCAAGCAACGTGCTTCCAGTGCCTGAGCTTTGGTGTTGAAAGGGGAAGAGGAGAGGACCATTTCATGGGACTTTTGAGAGTATAAGGACTGGAAAGTGCAAAGAACTGTGTAAACATTAAGTGTTAATGCTGGCATGGTGCCTTCTAAACAGAGAAACATGTTGGTACCACCCACCAGCTTGGTTTTGGAGATCATGAAGGCAGGATGCCCTTTGAGCTACACAAACTATAGGTGATTATATTAGGCAGTGAATGAATAGTTAAAAATAGGCTTATCATGTCATCAGATGATCTTTTGGTTAATGAAGTCTTTGGTACTGTGTTGGGTACATGTCTTTCCTAGTCCATTATAAATATCTATTTAACTGAGTTTTTTTAGCTCCCCTGGAGCATCTGCTCTGCTCTGATAGTTCTCAGGGAGATAAATATTTTTAGACACAAGTGTTACTTTCTCTTTGCTCAGTTATATCTCTGTACTTTTACTTATATCTCCTTGGGCTATACTAATAAATTCAATTTCTAAGAAATTTATCCTCCATGATCTTTGAGGCAATTATTGTTCTTGCCTTAATTAAACTGAAACTTCTTTATGCCTAGCAATGCTGTGCAATCAATCCAGGATATGATTAAAATGGATCATCATCTTAAAGATCCTTCCATTGAATCAGAACTCTCTGCTTGCAGGAGCTACAATGCTGCACACAGAATGCAGAGACTTCCAAACTTTATACAGTAAAAAAGAAAGAAGTGGATAATGATCCATATTCCGGTAGTCACTGTAATTTTCTGACACCAGATGGAGCACATCACAGGCAATCAGAGTGGGATCAGTTATTGTTTTGAATTTCATCTAGCCATGTCATTTACCATGTGAAATTGCTTTTCAGTTATAACTTAACAGTGACTCCAGTGCTGTGAGAAAAATACAGGCTGCCTGAGAGCGCACCTTGTACCACTGCCATGCCAGTGCACAGGATTGATCAGCCAGCAAAAATGTCAAACTATATTGCCCTGCAAGCAAACCCTTAGGATTTCCTGCACTCACTGGTTGACCTGCAAAGCCTTTTTTTGTGAAAAACAGTGTTGTGGTTTTGGGTCACTCCCCTTTCAGAAGAGGGAATTACTCAGCCTGAGATGAATGCACTACAACAGTAAGCATTATTGCCAAAATAATCCCAAAATAGTGGGGCAAATCTAACCTTCATAAGATTCATTACAAATAAACATGACTGTTTTGCTGCTGCTTGAACCTCAGCAGGTGTTCATGCCACACTATCCAGGCTGTGCTCCACCACCATCAAAGCTAGGATCCATCCCTCCATTCTTTGATTCCCTGGATAACACAGGGGTCTTGGGAAGAGCCAAGTATTCAGCCCCTCATTAGAAAGGAACAGCCCAGGGCTGAGGTGTTCTGCATACCTGGTGTCGATCCAGAGTGATGGCAGCCAGGGTCAGGACGGATACATGAACGGAGCAGTACTGAACAAACCGGCTTACGTGGCACATCAGCTTTCCAAAAAGCCAGGTGCTCCTCACAAATCGTACCTGAAAAAAAAAAAACACAAAAATGGATTAAAAACGTATGCATTATTAGAATAGTAGGCTCCCACAAGTTTGGTAGGAAAAACTGCTGTGTTGTAGTTTCCAGGTGCTTTGCAGATGTATTATACCCAATATTCTTGCAGAAAAAAATGACTATGCCAAAGGCTTTGAAACAGTGGGATTTTTTATACTGAACAAATAAATCTAGCTGCCCTGCTTGAGTAGTGCACTGTGCATGTCCATTTGTGTGCACATACGTACAAGTAATATGGTTCTTTTGGAAAAAAGGAAAGGAACCTTAGCTCAACTACTCGGTGAGGTTGAAAATATTTCCGTTTTTACTATCTTTCAAATGTTTAAGTTTGTGGATGCTGAAAGTTGCAAAGGTCCAAAGACTGAGATAAACTCATGTAAGAAAAATCCCTCGAGTGCTGGGAAGTAGCGAGATGCTGTCTCTGGGAGAGCATTGCCTCCCTGTGGGCACCCCTGCCTGCTGAGGCCTGCAGATGCCTGGCACTGGGAACGAGCTGGGCTCTGTGCCCACTGGGCACTCGCCTGTCCTCCGAGCAGGACTGACGAGCCTGACTCCCCTCCTGCCCCACGGTGCAACACGAGATAAACTCATGTAAGAAAAATCCCTCGAGTGCTGGGAAATAGCGAGATGCTGTCTCTGGGAGAGCATTGCCTCCCTGTGGGCACCCCTGCCTGCTGAGGCCTGCAGACGCCTGGCACTGGGAACGAGCTGGGCTCTGCGCCCGCTGGGCACTTGCCTGCCCTCCGAGCAGGACTGACGAGCCTGACGACTCCCCTCCTGCCCCACAGTGCAACATGAACCAAAGGCAATTCCAGAGGCTGTTGTCAGTGAAGTGTCACAATTTTACCCTCTGACTGAAAAGCAACTAACACTTTACAAGCTTGGCTGTCTTGCTCATTGGTCTGAATCCTGCACTTATTAGGGATAACTCCACCTGGGCAAAAAATCCAACTGCTCCTGGGCAGGAAGGGCTTAAAGTGTGTCCAGAGATGGCAATGGAAAGGCCATGATCACATTTCTTACTAACGTTCAAAGAGGTGCAGCTTACTGTGGCTTTTCTTTCTACAAAGGAAATTATTCCTGAGTACTTGTGATTGCAAATATTTGCATGCTTTCAGTTATTTATGTGCAACATTTATTCCAAATTAGTGTAATCCAATTTGGAAGAAGATTAAGCTAATTTGAAACACATTTACTTCAGAACATGTCTCCGCACATAAAATTACTCAATACTAATGTGGTTTTAAGTAATTTACCATTTTAATCCAAATTAATTTCCCTGTAAAGACAACAAACTAGCAGTGATTTGGTCAATGAAGCTGCAGAAGTTTGCTATTTCTCTGAAGCTGGTGTGAAACTCTTCTCTAAGCGGAGTTATTTAATCACTCGTGCCTAACGAGCGAGTGTCTTGTGCAAACACACAAGAAGGCAGTGTCCTTCCCTGAACAGGTTGAAGGATGCAAGTCCCTCCAGGGGAGGAGGAGACCTCGGGCAGCTCCTGGACAGGGACAGAAGCAGCAGCATTTGGGATGCTTTCAAGGCTGTCAAATTCAGCTATACTTACACACTGCTTATAAAACATGACAGTGGGGCAAGACATGTGAATTAGTTAAATTCCTCCTGCCTCATTGCTTCAACTTTCTTTTTATGTCTTACTGCTTTTAGCAACCAGAGCTAAGCAGAGGCTGAGGGCTCGGGGAGCAGTTGGCGGGGGACGTGCACAGCTCCGTGCACCTGGCTGCCTTCTCTGCAGCCTCCACGAGCAATGACCTTGGCTGCAGCGCTTCCCGAGGGAGCTGGCCGCTAACAGGACTTCCTAGCACAGTTTGTCCCCACGTCCTTCCCCAGCCAGGACATCTGCATCTTGCCAGTCCGGAGGAGGGAAGCGAGCGAGGGTGCTGCCCCTACGAGGATTTGGGAGCTGAGGGGCAGGATCCTGGGCAAGACCGCAGGCGTGAGGGGCAGCACGAGGACCGCGTGGGACATGGGGAGCAGGGAGAGGAGGTGAGAGGCGCCTGGCATCAGCCCCATGGGGACACGCAACCCCCAGCACCACACGGCCACCCACGCGCCCCCGCAGCCCCAGCCCTTACCAGCGTGAAGGGGGTGTTGAGAACGGTGATCATGATGTCCGCGACCGCCAGATTCGCGATGAAGAGGCTGGTGGCCGAGCGCATCCGCTTGTTCTTGAGCACCACGTGACACACCAGGATGTTGCCGAAGAGCGAGACGCAAATGATCACCGAGTAGGCGACGATGAGCAGCGCCTTCACCGTGCGGCTCTGCGACTCGCCCTCATACCTGGCGCCGCCGCCGAAGTCGCCCAGGTCCTCCAGGTCCAACGCGCTGTGGAGGAAGGACTGGTTGGGGAGGCCGTGGAGCGCAGAGAGGAAGGCGCTGCCGTTGGGGCGCAGGGCCCGCCAGAGCGGCTGCAACAGGTACTGGGGGGGCAGCCAGGCGGGGTTGCTCATGGCCGGAGGCGCCGCGCGAGCTTGGCACGTGCCCAGTGCCCGGAGGAGCGGGCAGGCTCAGCATCCCCTTCTGCCCGCCCTCCTTCCCGGGAGCTCCGGTGCCAGGGGAGAACGTGCACGTGTTAGAAATACGTCCTGTAGGTGCAAACTGCAGAAAAGACTTGAAAAATGGGTCCTTCCTCCCGTGCCAATCATGCGTGAGCTCTGCTCCAGAGGCTCTCTGGCTGCTGCGCTCCTTTCCCAGTCCCATACACCCCTAGGCAAGAGCACCTAGGAAGAAGTCCTAGCCAGTATTTCCTCTTGGACACCACTCTGCTTCTCTCTCATAACGTGTCCTGGGAAGTCTGCTTCATTGCTTTTCCACATGGTCCTTAATTCAGCAGGTCTCTATTTCCAAGGAGTTTTCAGAGCTCATCAGAATCAGAAAAGCAAGGGCAGCTCTTCTCCCTTCTTTCCATCCTTGAGGTACCTCCGAGAGATACACCGGAGACGGCTCTGCTCAGAGGCTGGGTGGTCCCTGCTTCCCCTGTGACAGACACAGGCTGCCAGATGACACACGGCACACGGAGTAGCCAATAGTGTCTCTTCCCAGCTCACCCCGAGAGGTTTCGCAGCCCCGCAGACACATGGTGGGAGAGCCTGACATTTGCAGGCTCGAGCAGAGCGGCACAAAGCAGCGAGCAGATGTTTCCTTATCTCGCGTCTCCTCCCTCCTCCTCTCTGTGTACCCAGCACAACGCTACGTGGGGTGAAGCATCCTGGCTGACTGGCAACACGCTCCCTCCTGGCTCACAGCGTTTGTGCAGAGGGAGCACTCTGCAGATCCCTGCCCCAGCGCTCTCTGCTTTGTGCTGCCTGTCCCCTTCCCACCTCCCTGGAGCAGGGCACCCTAGAAGAGGTGGGGCAGAATTTGCAGGGGACAATACAAGTTTCAGCTGCTTTTACAGGTCTGGGGAGGAGAAGAGAGCTGGCTGCCAGCACAGCTGGACCTGTGGGGCCGAGGTGGGGGAGCAGGGGCAGCAGCGACAGACGCAGCATGGGCAGAAATGCCTGTTTTCCTCCTCACAGACAGTCCCTGGGGAGGCAGCGCTGGGCTCCCAGCTGGGCAGCTCTTGGAAGGGTCCCCACATCCTGCTGCCCTTAAGGGTCCCCAGGTCCTGGGGGGAGACGGCTGCTCCGCGGGCACAAGGGGCCGCGTTGGGAACACGCAGGTTTGCACAGCGCTTTGGAGCCAAACCCAGCATTTCTAGGGAGTCAGCGATGCTGCACACATGAGATCAGAAGCAGGACCCTTGTGGGTCTGTTTCCCTGCACGTGTCTTCTCACAGGCTAGGAAATGCTGCTGAGAGCTTAGCAGCAAATGCCAACCTACTGCTTCAACTCATTTTCTCTGCTGCATCCACCAGCTCCCCTAGAGAGAGGGATCTGAAAAAACAGTAACAGTTTCATTGCTTGAACCAGTCCTAATTCCTGCAGCTCTTATATTCCAAATGGGCAATTTTCAGGTGCTGTTCAGACAAGAAAGAATAGCTGGCATTTGCTATTGGTAATGAAATTTCACTCCTCTGTTCCTCTTAGAAACCCCCTACTACCATTACACACTATGAGCTCAGAAGAGTGTTACAGAGAGCTCCTCTTCTCTAAATTTGGTGATTCTTTTTTCTCTAACTCTGGTGTTTAATCTGGCATCCTAAACTTCACTTTTAGGTGAGCTGCAGCTTCCTGGAGGCCAGGACAATTTCTCTTTGCCTCTCCGTGCGCTGCCGGGATCCTCTGGCCGGTGCGCGGCCGACGGCTGCACCGCGGCCCTGCCGGGGGGCTTGTTGCACCCGCCGGAGCCTGTGGAGCCCCGGGAGGGCCCGCTCTCCGTCGGGACAGTGGGGACGGCCCAGGGATCTCCGCAAGGACATTGCACAGGCTGTGGACCTGCACTGCAGGAACACGCTGGGTTTCATCCTGCAGCTCCTTCAGGCTCATTTGCTACATGTCTTCCTTCTCGCCAGTGCTCCCTTCCATTTCTTTGTAATGCATTAGAGGGACAATTTAGCAGAACATCATTTAGATGCACATGCATAAAACAGATCATTTTTTAAGTACTTTGCATGTCAAAGATATGTCATTTCTTAGCATTCTTTGCAAAACTGATTTATTCTACCAAAGGATCAAACACTTAGGCAATCAATCGCTATTTTGCTACAGTTATTATCCACTTACAACCACTCTGAGGTGCTTCTTAGCAGACCTCGCTTTACATCACCCACCAAAACTTAACATTTGTGCTAGTTGTTCCAAGTCAAACAAAACAAGAGAGAAAAGTACTTTTTCAGACAGCTATATTGTACCTCTGCTACATTTAAATTGCTGCATTTCAATTCCTCAAATTCAGCCTTCATTTCTATGCAAGGCTTTGGTACATTGAGACACTACTTAAGACAAATTTTCTTGCAACTTCTCATTTACATGAGAATATGTAGCCCTCTGGTCCCTTTCTGCATCAAAAAGATATGTCAAATCACTGATTTTTTCTATTGAAATGAAGATATAGTCTCCAGCTAGATTTAATACAGATTGAATATTTATGTGTGTTAAGAAAATCAGAATTGTACTATAGAAGTTCAGATCCATTTAGTCAGTTGTCTAGCAAAACTAAAATGCAAACAATTTAAAAAAGAAAAAAAGGAAAAATTTGGTTTGAGTTTGACAGGTAAAACAAGGAGGGGTATGAATTTCTCAGATACAGTTTTCCAGAGCTATACAACCAACACTAGTCCCATGACTCATGGCATTAGCACATGTAATCTGCTTCAGTTCCTACCACTAGCCTTTTAAATCTACCTGGAAATGGACACATGCATTTTGAAAATATAAACATCAGCTTTCATGAATGCAGCTGAATTGTCTTTTAGCAGATTAGCTGTGTTTGGATCTATAAACTCTTAAGGCTTTCATCCCACTTGGGAATATTAAATCACCAGATTATGAAAACTTTCACAAGTCATTGCTACAGCTCATTTTAAATGTGTTTTTTTTTTAACCTGTTCTTCACATTTCAGTAAAGTCCCTTATGACGAGCAACACAGGATAGCATGATCTATACCAGAACAAATCCCTTATGACGAGCAACACAGGATAGCAGGATCTATCGGACCAAATCACAAAGACTGAATTACCCTCACTCCGAGAGGAAGAGTTCACTTCTTGGGGATGAGTCACTGAACTTCTTGGTTTCACGATGTCTTCTGCGCACTACCCTGCAATCAGCTTCATTGTCCATCATGTAAAGTGCCCAGCTTCAAGACCGCTTGCTCCTGCACCTTAATCTAAGTTAAATTTAAAGAAATGGCTTCTAAAAACATGATTCATCCTCACTCCTTCACAGTACGTAACCATGACCCAAATCATATTTATGGTGTTTATCCCCCTAAGATGTGTTCCCAATTTAGATATACATTTTTAAAGTCTTCCCCTGTCTGCGCCCATGGAAATCTGTTAGGTTTTACTGACTGTGTATGGCATCTTTTGGAGGGTGGGGATGGTGATATCTGAAAGCAGATGGGTGTAAAACAGATGCTATTCTGCTCTTGGATACGCAGGGGTATAGAAGGGAACAGAAGAACTCATTGCTCCTTAGTGCATCTGGTCTGATTAGCTGATACGGAGTCGATCACACAGGCTCAGCCATGTGCACTTAGTTGTTGTTAATAAGCTGCTGGTACATGATGGGCTGCTCCCTTCCTCATTTCCTCCAAGTAACCGCAGAATAGAGCCAATTCCCTTCCTTTCCTGATACAGTCCTAAAGGACTTGCCCATAGGCCTTCCTTGTTTCCTCTGATGAGAACATGGCAAACATGTCTTTTCAAAATATTTGCTAACTTAAGGTAAGCATAAGGGTTACACAGCCCTTGTTGTCATAGGACTGAATCCCCCCGTGCCATGGAACAGCAGCAATAGCATTGACCACATCAGCCACCAGCAATACCTGTCCTTTACGTGCTCCTGTCCTGGGAGGGCTGCCAAGGAACAGGCACAGGAGCTCAGCAGGGTCGGCCGCTGCTTCTGCCCATCATCTCAGAGGGGAGGAATAAAAAGAGCCACAAATAACCGCCTAGAAGAGCCCACAGCCAGCTATGGGCATCTACTCATAAACCAGCACTAGCTCCCTCTTTCACTAGGCTGCTCTGCACACTGGGTCATCATCAATCTTACCCTCAGCCAGAAACCATCTTTTAATAGCTCATTCTAAGGTTCATCTTATAATTAAGCCTGACTGTTTAACTAAGAGAAATGGGCAAGTTGAAATATAATTTATAGCGTTGTTTGCCACAAATCTCTGTTTGGTAAAGGCCGGGATTGGCCTGGATATTGCCTGGAAAGTGCACAGGTCTACTTTTGAGAGCTACAATGGGTATCAAACGTTTGCTTTCAATCAGAGCTTGCAGACTATTTTAAAGACAAAGCCTGGGATAGCAGCAGTGCTGGAGGTCTAAAGTGAAATGCATTGATGGCATTGTTCAGAACTTCATCTAAATGGATTCCTCCTATCTTGGCTAACACCAGTGGGAACAGTCACATCATTTGAATAGATATGGGATCTACAGCTGAATCGTTCAGTGCAACTAAAGTCCTTAATAGTGATATTTTAGTTCAGTTTTCAGTATCAAAAAAAGAATATTTTAATATATATAATCCAGCTATGATCTTGTATCAGGTGTGAGGAGCCAGACTGGCTGATGAAATCAGAATCTGATAATAAAGCCGTCATTGTGCAGCAAGTACAGCAAGGGGAAACACTTTCATTACTTGAGCAACGAGTTTGTAAAGCTGAAAAACATTCCTAAGGTCCCTAGAGGCTATTCTGTTTCATATTTATAATCATGCAGATTGAAGAAAGATACTGAATGCACAAAGTCCTCAAATTAAACATTTTCCTAGTCCCACAGCCCCTGTACGAGGTGCATTCCCCTTCCCTCTGCTTCTCTGCGGGCTGTCCCGGGTGCCG